GGGGGGATTTGGGGGTGGGGGGGCCCCTACTGGTTCCAGTTCCATCCCAGTTCCATCCCAGTCCCTCCCAGTGCCCACACTGGTCCCAGTTCCAGTCCCGATACTGGTTCCAGTTCCATCCCAGTTCCAATACTGGTTCCAGTTCCATCCCAGTCCCAGTGCCATCCCAGTACCGATACTGGTCCCAGTCCCAGTTCCAGTTCCATCCCAGTTCCGTCCCAGTTATATCCCAGTTCCAGTGCCTCCCAGTGCCCACACTGGTTCCAGTTCCAGTCCCGATACTGGTTCCAGTCCCACTCCCAGTCCCCAGACTGGTGCTGTCCCAGTCCCAGTGCTCATACTGGTTCCAGTTCCATCCCAGTTTTGATACTGGTTCCAGTCCCAGTCCCAGTTCCAGTCCCGATACTGGTCTCAGTCCCAGTTCCATCCCAGTTCCAATACTGGTTCTAGTTCCAGTCCCAGTTCCAGTCCCGATACTGGTTCCAGTCCCAGTCCCAGTTCCAGTTCCATCCCAGTTCCGTCCCAGTTATATCCCAGTTCCAGTGCCTCCCAGTGCCCACACTGGTTCCAGTTCCAGTCCCGATACTGGTTCCAGTCCCACTCCCAGTCCCCAGACTGGTGCTGTCCCAGTCCCAGTGCTCATACTGGTTCCAGTTCCATCCCAGTTTTGATACTGGTTCCAGTCCTAATCCCAGTTCCAGTCCCGATACTGGTCTCAGTCCCAGTTCCATCCCAGTTCCAATACTGGTTCTAGTTCCAGTCCCAGTTCCAGTCCCGATACTGGTTCCAGTTCCATCCCAGTACCGATACTGGTCCCAGTCCCAGTTCCAGTTCTACTCCAGTTCTGTCCCAGTTCCATCCCAGTACCGATACTGGTCCGGGTTCCATCCCAGTGCTGATACTGGTCCTGCTGCCAGTCCCAGTTCCATCCCAGTTCCATCCCAGTTCCATCCCAGTGCTGATACTGGTGCCGTCCCAGTGCCAATACTGGTCCCAGTCCCAGTTCCATTCCAGTTCCATCCCAGTTCCATCCCAGTACCGATACTGGTCCCAGTCCCAGTTCCAGTTCTACTCCAGTTCTGTCCCAGTTCCATCCCAGTACCGATACTGGTCCGGGTTCCATCCCAGTGCTGATACTGGTCCTGGTGCCAGTCCCAGTTCTGTCCCAGTGCCATCCCAGTACCGATACTGGTGCTGTTCCAGTCCCAGTGCCCATACTGGTCCCAGTCCCAGTTCCATCCCAGTTCTGATACTGGTTCTAGTTCCAGTTCCAGTTCCAATACTGGTTCCAGTTCCATCCCAGTTCCATCCCAGTATCCATACTGGAGCTGTTCCAGTTCCAGTGCCCATACTGGTCCCAGTTCTGATACTGGTTCCAGTCCCATCCCAGTGCCATCCCAGTACCAATACTGGTGCTGTCCCAGTTCTAGTCCCAGTTCCAGTGCCCATACTGGTCCCAGTTCCATCCCAGTCCTGATACAGGTTCTAGTTCCAGTTCCAGTTCCAATACTGGTTCCAGTTCCATCCCAGTTGCATCCCAGTATCCATACTGGAGCTGTTCCAGTTCCAGTGCCCATACTGGTCCCAGTTCCATCCCAGTGCCATCCCAGTACCGATACTGGTCCCGGTGCTGATGCCAGTCCCAGTGCCGATACTGGTCCCAGTTCCATCCCAGTGCCATCCCAGTACCAATACTGGTGCTGTCCCAGTTCTAGTCCCAGTTCCAGTGCCCATACTGGTCCCAGTTCTGATACTGGTTCCAGTCCCATCCCAGTGCCATCCCAGTACCGATACTGGTCCCGGTGCTGATGCCAGTCCCAGTGCCAATACTGGTCCCAGTTCCATCCCAGTACCAATACTGGTTCTGATGTCATCCCAGTTCCATTCCAGTTCCGTCCCAGTACCGATACTGGTCCCAGTGCTGATGCCAGTCCCAGTTCCAGTTCCGATACTGATCCCAGTGCCAGTCCCAGTGCCGATACTGGTCCTGGTGCCGTCCCAGTTCCATCCCAGTTCCATCCCAGTGCTGATACTGGTGCCGTCCCAGTTCCAGTTCCATCCCAGTGCCATCCCAGTGCCATCCCAGTGCCGATACTGGTGCCATCCCAGTTCCAGTTCCATCCCAGTGCCGTCCCAGTGCTGATACTGGTCCTGCTGCCAGTCCCAGTTCCATCCCAGTGCCATCCCAATACCGATACGGGTGCCGTCCCAGTGCTGATACTGGTCCCAGTTCCAATTCCAGTTCCAGTGCTGCCCCAGTACCGATACTGGTGCTGTTCCAGTTCCATCCCAGTACCGTCCCAGTTCCATCCCAGTAGCGATACTGGTGCCGTCCCAGTTCCGTCCCAGTGCCGTCCCAGTGCCGATACTGGTCCTGGTGCCATCCCAGTTCCATCCCAGTTCCATCCCAGTCCCGATACTGGTGCTGTTCCAGTGCCATCCCAGTGCCGATACCGCTCCCAGTGCCGGGCTTTTGGGGTTCCAGTGCCATTTTTGGGGTGCCGGGGTGGGTTTTGGGGTGCAAGTGGGGGTTTTTGGGGTGTCGGGGGTGCCAGTTTTGGGGTGTCCAGGTTTTGGGGTGCGGGGGCCAATTTTGGGGTGTCTTTGGGGGTTTTGGGGTGTCGATGTTGATGTCATTGTGTTGGGATGTCAATGTTGGGTGTTGGGGTTGATGCCGGTTTTGGGGTGCAGTCACCCAAATTTTTGGGGTGCAGGTGGGGGTTTTTGGGTGCTGTGGGGGCCA